GTAACAAATTCTTTTTTTTTCATCAGATTTTTGGCACCCCTGGAGCGGTTTATGCTCGCCGTAGGGAAGGAGAGGCATTTCATCCTGATTGTGTGGTTTCAACTGTAAAATTTGGAGGAGGAAGCGTAATGGTTTGGGGCTGCATAGCTCCTTCAGGCACTGGAATGTTGTACACATGTGAGGGCAGAATGAACTCCACAATTTATACTAACATGCTGGACCAGGTTTACCGAACCTCTTTGACTAAAATATTTAATAATAACATTCCAAGTAATGTAATATTCCAACAAGACAATGCTCCATGCCATACGTCAAAAGTTTCACTCGGTTGGTTTGAGAAAAAAGGGATTACAGTGATGAAGTGGCCCCCTCAATCCCCAGACCTAAATCCCTTTGAAACTTTGTGGTCCCATTTAGGGAAAAGAGTGAGAATGCACAAATGTTCATCAAAAAAAGAATTAGAGGCCAAACTTCATGAAGATTGACAGAAAATAGATTCTACCATCTGCAACAACTTAGTCAATAATATGCAAAAACGAATAAAAGCTGTTATAAAGGCAAAAGGAGGACATACCAAATATTGATTGTTGTTATTAATGTTTACTGCACTATTCTTAACCTTTAAATATATAAGTTTGAATCATAATTTCGATTTTTCATTGGTGCTCCATAATTTTGGCCAAGGCTGTATATATGTATATATAAATTTTGTCTCTCTCTCTCCCTTCTCTCTATTTTTCCCTTTATGCACACACAGACACACACACACACATATATATATATATATATATAAATTTTTAGCGAAAATGTAAACCGTTTGTAGGTCGTTATACGGTATCAAAATTATCTTTCAAATAGACGAAATGAATTTTTAATCTATGTTTCATGCCATCTTAACATAGGCTATTTTGGTTGTTTTTACTGTGCAAATGTATTGCTGATAATCTTTTTTCTATGATAATGTAGTGAGATATTTTTTAAAAATATTTTTAAATTTATTACCGGCAATTTGTTTACTATGAAAATGTATTGCTGGTACTTTTTTACTACGAAAATATATTGCTGGTAATTTTTTACTGGTATTTTTTTTTTATTATGAAAATGTATTGCGGGTATTTTTGTTCCAAGAAAATGTATTATTTGTTATTTTTTAATAGTAATTATTTACATTGAAAATATATTACTATTCCTTTTTTTACTTCGAAAATATATTGCAGTTAATTTTTTAGTATGAAAATGTATTGCTGTTAAAATTTTCTGGTAATTTTGTAGTATAAAAATTTATTGCAGGTATTTTTTTTACTACGATATGTATTTACTGGTAATTTTTTACTCTGAAAATGTTTTACTGCTACTTTTTTGCCAGTAATTTTTTATTATGAAAATGTATTGCTGGTAATTATTTTACTATTAAAATATATTGCTGATAATTTTTATTACGAAAATATATTGCTGGTAATTTTTTTATTTTTAATTATTTTTACTTTGAAATATATACCTATAATTTTTTAAACTAATTTTTTAAACTATTTTTTTTTACTATGAAAATGTATTACTGGCAATATTTTTTTTCAAATGAAAAGTAATTGCAGCTATTTTTGTTCTAAGAAAATGTATTGATGTTAATTTTTACTGGTAATTATTGATATTTATAATGCACTGCTGGTATTTTTTTAGTATGAAATATATATTTCTGGTAAGATTTTTTTGCATAGTTTTGAAATGCATAGCTGGTAATTTTTTATAATTAGAATGTATTGCTGATATTTTTTACTATGCAAATGTATTGCTGGTAATTTTTTTACTAGAAATATTTTACATCTAAAATATCTAGCTGGCTATTATTTAACTAGGAAACTTTATTGCTTGTATATTTTTACTGTGAAAATATATTCTGGTAATTTTTTTACTGGTAATCTTTTTACTTTGAAAATGTATTGCCTCATTTTTTTTACTATGATTTTTTATAATGAAAACGTATTGCTGATAATATTTACTATGAAAAGATATTGCTGGTAATTTTTTACGGATAATTTTTGTTATGAAAATGTTTGCTGGTAATTTTTTTACTGGTGAATTTTTAGTATGAATATCTGTTGCCTGTAAATATTTTTACTATGAAAATATGTTACCGGAAATGTTTTACAATGTTAATGCATTGCTGGTAATTTTTTTACTATGCCAATATATTGCTGCTAATGTTTTTACTTTGAAAATGAAATACTGATAAATTTTTACTCGTAATTTTTCTGTATGAAAATATATTGTTGGTAACTTTTTGCTATGATAATGTATTGTTATTTTTTATTGGTAACTTTTTGCTATGATAATGTATTGCTGTTATTTTTTACTGGTAATTTTTTACTGGTAATTTTCTTTACTATGAATATGTATTTTTGGAAATATTTTTATTGTTAAAATTTATTGCCGGACATTTTTTACTAGGAAAATATATTTCCGATAATTTTTTACTATTAAAATATATTTCTGAAATATTTTTTATCCTGAAAATGTATTATTCGTAATTTTTTTTACTAGGAAATATATTGCTGGTAATTGTCTTACTATGAAAATATATTGTTGGTAAATTTTTTTACTATGAACATTTATTGCTGGTAATATTTTATGGCAATATTTTTTATTTTGGAACGTATTCCAAGCAATTTACAATGAAAATGTATTGCTGTTAATATTTTACTATGAAAATTTTTAGCAGGTAATTTCTTTACTTTGAAAATGTAATGATGGCAACTTTTTTTACAATGACAATGTATTGCAGGTATTTTTTTTACTATGGAAATATATTGCTGGTTATTTTTCTCGTAATTTTGTTTACATTGGAAATATATAGGTAGTATTTTTTTTTATTAGGAGACTTTATTGCTGGTATTTATTTTTCTAAGAAAATGTATTCTGATAATGTTTTACTGGTGATTTTTTACTTTGAAAATGTATCGCTTGTAATATTTTTACTAAGAAAATATATTGTTGGTAAGTTTTTACTGGTAATTTTTTATTATGAACATGTATTACTCGTAATTTTTTCTTTGAAAATATATTGCTGGTAATTTTTTACAGATAATTTTTTTTACTATGAAAATTTATTGGTGGTGATTATTTTACTCGTTACTTTGTTACTATGAAAGTGCATTGCTGGTAATTTTTTGCTGGTTAAAATTTATGCCGGTAATTTTTTTACTATGCAAATGTATTGCCGGTAATTTTTTATTATGAAAATATATTAGCTTTTTTTACTATGTTAATGTGCTGCTGGTAATTTAACTATGAAAACATACTGCCGGTAATGTTTTTACTACGAAAATGTATTGGTGGTAATAAAAATGTATTGGTGGTGATTTCTTACTATGAAAATGTATTGCTTGTAATTTTTTACAGCTAATGTATTTTCTATGAAAATATGTTGGTTGTAATTATTATACTGCTATTTTTTTTCTATGAAAATATATTGCTGGTATTTTTTTACTAAAAAAATGTATTGTTAATTTTTTTTTTTTTTTTATGAAAATGTACTGCTGGTAGTTTTTTTTTTACTATGAAAATATAATACTTGTAATTTTCTTTTCCTTTAAAAATATATTGCTGGAATTGTTTTACTTTGAAAATGTATTGCTGTTATTTTTGGTAATATGAACATATATTGCTGGTAACTTTTTTACTATGAACATTTTTACTGTTATTTTTTTCGTATGAAAATATTTTGATTGTTAAATTTTTTGAAAATGTATTGCAGGTAATTTTTACTGGTATTTTTTTTACTTTGAATATCTATTCCTGGTATTTTTTGCTACGAAAATGTATTGCAAGTAATTATTTTACTGTGTTAATTTTTTTACTATGAAAATCAATTACCGGTATTTTTTTATTATGAAAATAAATTACCGGTAATTTTTTGCTATGAAAATATATTGCTGGTATTTTTACTGTAATTTTTTTTTTTTATATTACATAGATTTTTATGTAGATTAACTATTTCCCCATAGTTGAGATCCTAACAAGTGCTTCAACCCCTGGCTAGGGTTGACCTTGGACCAACAGTGATTAAGATGTCTTTCTGCTCCTCTGAACTTCCCGATCAGTGGCCTTGCTGCCGGGTGTTGTTTGTCTTCATATCCACGACGAAGGATAGATATTGGTTAATTTGAGACTTGGAGATATTAACATTGTAGGGATCAGTTTCACTGTGTCAATTGTAAGGAGAAAAAGCTGTTTGAGTCGAACTTCATCCTTACCAATAATAATGAATGAAGCTGATGTGTACGTCGGGTACTAGCTCTGGAGGTCTTAATTGGTGGAACTAACGGATTTAGCTCGTTTGACGATTTTCAATAGCCATAGACTAAGTTATCGACATTTCGTTCACGAGAAAGATGTTCCAGGGTGGGAAAATAATATATCCTCCTCTATCAATTTTAAGGTTGGATAAAAAAAAACAAACCAAATAAGACACCATTAATCCATTCGTGACTGATCTGAATCTTTTTTACAGCAAGGTTCACCCTATACAAGGACCGGGGGCTGTTTTAGGTATACGGTTATATTATGGGGTAGTTTATATAAATACGAAAGCAACTGGAGCGGTACAGGTAGCCGACTATTTTACCTGCATCTTTAAGGATGGATCATACATAAGAGTTCCACTTGAGGGTCGTGTCTAAGCTTGAGGCACAATATTCTCTCAAGGCACGGAGCCTCCTTGAGTGAACAATCCGTTCATCGGGGCTGTGGGTAGATCGGGGTCTGATCGACGGTGATGCTTGTAAAGTTTGAGTATCGCAGCAGATATTTTCGAGTGGCATACAAGGAATGGGACACTAATTCCGTGTCTTTATCAATGGTACGAATATATGAGGTCTAGGTTGCGTTTTATGTCCAATAAAGTTTCGAGACAAAAAGTCTCATTATGAATAATTAGTGCAGGCATGAACGCGTTCTGGAAAGAAAAGATACAGATTGTCTACGGAATGTATTAAGTCACAAGTATGCTTCTTCTCGTTCTTCTTTCTCTTCGTGTTATTGCTTTTCTTTTTCTTCTTCTCTTTCTTCCTTTTCTTTTCTTTTTCTCCGTTTTCTTCTTTTTTCTTTTTCTTCTTGTTATTGCTTTTCTTTTTCTTCTTCTCTTTCTTCCTTTTCCTTTTCTTTTCTTCTTTTTCTCAGTTTTCTTCTTTTTTCTTTTTCTTCTTGTTATTGCTTTTCTTTTTCTTCTTTTTCTTCTTTTTTCTTTTCTTTTTTCTTGTTTTTCTCCATTTTTTCTTCTTTTTCTTCTTCTTATTGCTTTTCTTTTTTCTTCTTTTTCTCCATTTTCTTTTTCTTCTTCTTGTTCTTTTTCTTCTTATTATTGCTTTTCTTTTTTTTCTTCATTTTCTTCTTCTTCTTCTATGTACTGTATTCCTTCTGGACTTTGGCTCTCCGCAATTTCCTGTACTTTGCAACTCTTAATAAATTTTGTCTTTTATGCTATCTCTCCTAAACCCTGTTCTGCCATCAAGCACGAAAGACACGTTACGCATTATTTTCTTCTGTTCCTCTTGCCTTCAATCCACCCTGTGAATATCAAATTTTCAAAGACCTCTTCCCTCATTATGTGCTCACAAAATTTCAACTTCCTCTTTCAGATGTTAAGTATTACTGTCCTTTTTACTTCCATTTTCTCTAGTACTTCATCGTTGCTCACATGTTCGGTCCATGCTATTATCAGCATCCTCCTGCAGAACCACATTTCCTTTGCTTCATCTTTGAGGATATTGTCCAGCATCCACTGCCACATAAGAGGATTCATATAGAAACTGAATAAAAATTTGCCTTGATATAAAATGAAAAACAAATAATCAGAAACAGTTGTCAGTGTAAGAAATCGGCTGAATAATGCGATTTACACAGAGAAAGCCACACGGGAACAAGAACTAAAATCTCGCGAGAATAAAACATGATTACAGTGGATTATAGAAAGGCAATAATGGAGTGCGGGTGACTGGATGAAAGGAATATTCAATGATGAATAATAAATCTCTATTGATCAAGGTAATGATACCGAATCTGTTATCTGCTGTCGTGGAAAGGCACCATATAAAAAAAAGGTAATAAAGGAATATAAAGATGACTGACTGAAGCAAACAAGCTTAGCTCACTCGTTTGGATACGGAGATGCATGTTAACTAAAGAATCTAGAAAGATGGCGATCATTAAATCAACAGAAATTGCACAATTGCTTATTGAAATTGCTGGCACTTTTCGATTTTAGCGATTGAAAATAGGTTTTCTACAGGAAACTAAGTGAATCTGGCATTAACCTGTTCGGGTATAAATAAGATTGGTGAAAAATTTATTTTATAAAAATCAGAAGCTTTTATATTGCAAAGTCGATCTGTAACCAGCTGTTTGATAGCGTTAGAACAAGCCGAATAATATACTCAATTATTCCGATGATACGACTATGTACGGCCGCATATCTAAAACTCGTTATTGCCAGAGATTGACATCTGATGTCTCATCCGATATAGCAGAAACTACCCCGTGGGGCAAAAACAGAGTGATTACATTCAATGCCTCGAAAACCAAACAAGTTACATTCCATCATCTCTGACCAAACCCCGAACTACTGCCAGTTACGATGAACGGTTGTCACATCGGGTAGGCACCGTGTTTTGAGAGACTATTGAGCACAACTGACAAGTGGGATACATACGATCTATTGCAGGTAAAATGGCTGGCTCCCTGTACCGCTTCAGAAAGTGCCTGACCCCTCATGCTATCATCTAACTTAACAAGGGCCAGATCAGGCCCAAAATGGAGTACTGCTGTCATATTTTGACAGGAGCTGCCCAGATGTTATAACTCGCTCCTTGTGGTTATAATATTATGTCTCGCATAGGCTATTCACCATAACGTCACGAGAAATTCTCCTCGTCTGACGTCAATACACTTCCTTGACTCACTTTGAGTTTATTATCTAAGGTTGGCTAGTTCATCGGTGTTACTGAGTGTGTCTTATTTATTTCACAACACTAAACCTGACACTTCAGCCTTGACAGAGTCTAAAAGCGTCTCCGAACACTTGTGAGTGAGGAATTATTCTTCACTCTCCAACCTCTCTCCCAAAGGTTGGACGTGGCAAGACGGCCGCTGTTCTATCCCAGCAAGGACACGCCATGCCACGTTACATAGTAGCAAATCCCCCACATTTCCTCCGAAATTCCATCGGTGAGAAGTTTTTTTTTGTTTTTTTCCACTTGAACTGCTTCTCGCGAACCACAGTTCAGTGCAATCGACGCCTAACAGGATGTTCCCCCCGATTACTACAATCTTAACCTGTTCAAGTCTAGGGTTAACCGTTATCTTTCCCTCATATCCGCACAAATTGCCTCTTAACATAACCTCGAATAGCCTTGTACAGGGTGAGCCTTGTACACAGTGGCCTTGTACTGGGTTAACTGTTAACTTTCCCAGATATCCGCACAAACTGCTTCTTAACATAACCACGAGTGGCCTTGTATAGTGTGAAACTTAATGTAAAAAAGAGAATTTAAGCTTAATGGAGGATTTTGGTTTTCATTAATTGTTCATTACCCAACAAATTTCAATCATCTGAAAACTCGGCCAGGAACGCCAATTAACGAACTGTGGTATTTTATTTCATGATTTCTTAATTATTTCTTTGCAACTGTGCTATTCCATATTTTATATTTTACCTATTAAAAAAACATACTATTTATTGAAATGAATTAATTTTTTTTTTTAGTTTCATATCACGAAACCGGAATGTTCAAATATTAAAACAAAAACGGTTACGTATCTGTGTTCTATTTGTTTACTATGATATAAAAGATCTGGTTTTATTTTATTATTTTTTTCTAGGCTTAGTACATAAGTTTCTATTGGAAGTACAGGTGGTTAACGGCACGGCACGAGAATCCGCGAACCGTGTTCGAATTCTCTCATAGCTTTACATTCATTTTGCTCAAATCCCCTTTGGAAAGGTATGAATCTATCTCGTCTCCGCATCTCTATCGGTAAAATAGTAGGGAAGACTAAATTCTTCATCCTTGGTTGGCAACAGGTGTAAGAAAACGATGATTCTGAATTCAAAACCGATTGAGTACGGAAACAACTTGCTACAGAATCCCCAGGAGCAACACCTAGTGTAGTGAGGCTGTGGCCCTATACTTCCTCAGTGGTGTTGATAGGACTTAATAGTATATATTGGGTTGTTACGAAAGTTCATATCGATTTTTAAGGTAAATTAAAACACAAAACAAAATGTTGCCATAAAATATTGTAATATTCAACTAAATATGAACTATTTTGTTGCGCAACCTTTCTCTATTTTTCCTTTAACTTAAACATTCTATCTTCCCAGAATTTTGGTGGTTTCCCGGCAAAGAACTCATTAAAAGAATTAAAATTTTTACCATTGCGATTATTTTGAATAAATGAAAATCCGAAGGAGTAATCTCTGGCGAATATGGCAAGTGGAGTAACCAAGCTGCAACAATTTTTGCCAGAGCGCCAAAGTAATGTGAGATTTGGTACTATCTTGATGGAAAACAACACCTTTCCTGTTCGCCAATTCTGGGCATTTTTCTTGAATTACTGTCTTTAATTCATCCAGTTACAAGCAGTACTTTTCAGAATCAATTGACTGGTTACTTGGCAGAAGTTCATAATATAAGATCTCTTTCCAATCCCACCAGATGCACAGCATCATTTTCTTAGGATGAAGACCTGCTTTTGAGGTGACTAAAGTTGGCTCATCCACCCCAGTATCTTTATTGCTGATCATCGTTGTAAATGATCCATTTTTCATCAAACGTCACAATTTTCTTAAAAAAGGGTGCATTTTCATTGCGTTTATCCAACAAATCCCAGATGAAATGCGATCCAAAAGATTCTTTACATTCAGATCATGTGGTACCCAAGCATTATAGCGCTTTGAGTACCCAAGCTTCACTAAGTGTTCGTCAATGGTGGGTTTTGATAAATTTAGTGTTTCCCGTGTTGTTTAATGCGGGTTATTCTCAATCAATGTCTTGATTTCGTCATCTGTAGTGGGTGGGGGTCTGCCTGAGAGCTCTTCATCAATAAATCTACAATCACCAACTCAAATTTGCCGAACCATTTCTGTACATTTCTGTCAGCTAAAGCACCTTCACCATACACAACACATATCTGTGTTATTGTTTGCGTCACACCTTTGCCTTTACGGTAAAAAAAAAGCATCAAATGTTTAAAATGCACCTAATAATCTTCCATTTTGATAGGGATGCAAAATTGACAAAAATTAAGTAATTTTAAACTTTCTTTCTCAAGAGATAGTTTAAAGTGTAAAATGTAATCTGTCGTAGTTTAAAGTGTACTCTAATCGGAAATGTAATCCGTCGTAGTTTAAAGTGTACTCTCATCGGAAATGTAATCTGTCGTAGTTTAAAGTGTACTCTAATCGGAAATGTAATCCATCGTAGTTTAAAGTGTACTCTCATCGGAAATGTAATCTGTCGTAGTTTAAAGTGTACTCTAATCGGAAATGTAATCCGTCGTAGTTTAAAGTGTACTCTAATCGGAAATGTAATCTGTCATAGTTTAGTGTACTCTAATCGGAAATGTAATCCGTCGTAGTTTAAAGCGTACTCTAATCGGAAATGTAATCTGTCGATAAATTTGAAGTCTTCTAACGTAGTAGAACATAAATGATTAAAATCGGCATGTAATTTCCGAACAACCCAATACTAATTGGATAAAAGATATTACTTGTAAATCGAAGCGCTTCATATGTCAACTTTGACTGAGAGTAAAATATATTAAAATACTTATTGTTAATTAAGCTTTTTAATTTAGTTTAAATTATTTAATTTTTAATTATGTACATTTATCTAAGTGATAAGTTTTTCTCTTTAATACCTGACATTTACAAATATAAGGGCAGCTCTAGACTGGCAGATAATGTCATCATTTTACAGTTGAAATGGCAAGAGATGTAACCGTAAGTTCTGTGGTAACTCTTCCTTCCCTCGCACTTCTCGCTTGTTGAAGTCTTTTCCGGCTTCTTGCTTCCCAGTCAACGTAGATCTTCAAAAAAGCAATGTCTGTCGTTAACTTTTGTATACCTAATTCTTTTACTATTCCCTCTCCTTAGTAATGCTTTCTTTTTCTCGTATTCTCTCAGAGTCAATAACGCTTGTAGCCTTGCTTGGGTTGAAATGATTAAAATATTTCGTTTCAAAGTGGAAAACCTTTTTTTTGTTGTTGTTGTTAAGTTGTGTAATGTTATTCATCTTGATCTGACATTTCAGTGTCAATCACTTTTCCACCATCGTAAAATAGCTCCCCCTTTGCCTTTTCTGTTTCCATGGTAATTGTTCTGATGAACTTTCCTTTATGGTAGCT